CGCGTTTCAGAAAGGCGGGGCATAGAGAAGAAACAATAATGTACAGTATGTGGAAAATAATGTGTTTTTTGAACCTTAAACCGCATAAACACATTTCATTACACCAAATACACCAAATAATGTTCTTTTTAGCAGCATCATATGACCCCCTTTAATTCAGTCCTCAGAAACTGAAAACTCTCCCTAGCCTGTGATAAGTGAGGAGTTTGTGTACCGTACCGACAAAATAGTTATTCTGCTCCTTCTGTCTCTCCACCAGGAATTTGCGCAGTATGGTGATGCTGCAGGTCTTGGGCTCATTCATGGCTGTGATGGCGGCCACTATGGCGTCTTCCAGCAGTCCGCCACCCAAGAGCACTTTATTCCCAGCTTTCTTCAACTGTCAAACACAAATGTAGATTCTGATCAAACCTGCTTTTAGGTGCTGAGCAATTCAGAAGGTTAACTAACCTGGAATGTTCCAGAGGCTCCCTTGCCAGTGATCTGCTCCAAGTAGCCCTTTTCCACAGATTTTTGCAGGCAGTTCTTCAACACCTCAGGCCTTGGAGAGATATAGAGAACAACCCAATCCTTTACATTAACAATCCTCCAATCACGGTACAACTGTTTTCAACATGGCTAAAAATAAGAAATGTTTTTTTGAGCAGCATATTAGAATGATTTAATGATTTCACAATATTACTGTTTTACTGTATTTTTGATCAAATAGTTGCAGCCTTGGTGAGCAGATGAGACTTCTTTTCAAAACACTCAACAATCGTACATACCCCAAACTTCTGAATTCAGTATTTCATTGCTAATGTTAAGTAAATTCTTTCAGATTCAAACTGTAGTCTAGGATGTTGCCCTAAACACAAGTCAATAATGACCTGCTATCCACATTAAGTTGTGGGAAGTGTTGCTCCAGGTACTTCCTGATTAGGATGTAGGAAGCCTCCTTGGGTTCACAGAGGCGGGTGATGATCAGAGGCAGAGACTCTCCCAGCGTCTCTTTCGGCCCTGCAGACGCAGCTGGCTTCTGCACCACAACATGACATCGACAAAATGAAAGATTAAAAAATGATGACAAACCATCAAAAAAGTACTCAACCTCGTGTGCCTCAGCAATGTTCAACAACTTAAACAGCAATGCAAAGACGACAAACAAACGACGTGTGGATACCTTCCCAATGGCGAAACTTCCAGAGAAGCCTTTGCCCTTCACCTGTGTGTAAAGAAGACAAGACAAAGTTTGCTTTTGACTTACTCTACATATAAAACAAGAAATATTCCTGTATTCAATTGCAAATTACCTGCTTGACAGTGCCCCTCTCAACCATTCGCTTCAGAGCCCTCTTGTAGAGGTTTTTGGTCTTTTTGTCCATTTCCACAGATGGATATTTCTTCATGACATATTTCATAATGGTGATCGAAGATATATATAAACAAGAGATTTCATTCATTTAGCAAATGTTGTATGCATCTAAACTGGGAATGCAATAAAAACATGTTGCATTGTTTATAACGTTATAATGCACTGCACTGTGGAGATTTACAAAATTACAGGATTTTTATGCACTGTTTTGGACACCTGAAATGAACGACCATGACCTCTGGTCAGCAAATGGAAGCTCGTGCATAGAAAAACACGCCGACAAACACGCGCTGGACATAAAGGCACAGCAAATTAACAAGAAAGGAGCAACATTCTTATTGTTTATATGCTCCACATATGGTCTTTATTGATATATGCAGCGAATAACGTGCATAAAAGCACACCTGCACACATTTTACTAATGCACAAGAACTGAACTGCACGTAAAAAACAATATAATCGAAAATGGCCATTTTGTCCATTTTGCCCTGTACAGTAATGGCGCTGCGTTGGGATGAAAATGGTAAATGCACGAGGCTGCAGATTCAAAAGATTTCATAAAACACACACGCCTGGAGAACGTCTAAAAAAATCTGTAAGCTGAGGATGCACAATTTCAGAACGAGCTTTTGAAGCCTCCTTGGGTTCACAGAGGCGGGTGATGATAAGAGGCAGAGACTCTCCCAGCGTCTCTTTCGGCCCTGCAGACGCAGCTGGCTTCTGCACCACAACATGACATCGACAAAATGAAAGATTAAAAAATGATGACAAACCATCAAAAAAGTACTCAACCTCGTGTGCCTCAGCAATGTTCAACAACTTAAACAGCAATGCAAAGACGACAAACAAACGACGTGTGGATACCTTCCCAATGGCGAAACTTCCAGAGAAGCCTTTGCCCTTCACCTGTGTGTAAAGAAGACAAGACAAAGTTTGCTTTTGACTTACTCTACATATAAAACAAGAAATATTCCTGTATTCAATTGCAAATTACCTGCTTGACAGTGCCCCTCTCAACCATTCGCTTCAGAGCCCTCTTGTAGAGGTTTTTGGTCTTTTTGTCCATTTCCACAGATGGATATTTCTTCATGACATATTTCATAATGGTGATCGAAGAGATACCACTCCGCTCTTTGCAACTCTGTAAGTAGATTGTAAAGATTTACATATGAGATGGCAATTTTTAGATTCTTACATTTCCAAAGAATGGAAAACCGAGTCCTAAAACAGAGAAATTCTTGCACTTTGGTTTTCATCGTCCTGAAATCATTGTTTTTTTTTTGAATGGGCTTTTGGTTAAATGCCTGAAATAAGGTCTGTGGTTAACTCAAACTAAAGAGATTTTCTCGTTTTATTATTCTACAACATAAAATACTACAGTAATACCTCACTCACAATTTTTTTAAGCTCTGGAAAAAGTTAAATGGGACTACAGAGGTTGCCGGGAACATTAGATGTCATCACGCCGAACAGGTAAACTCATCAACTTCAACTTAAAATGTCTGAAGTGTAGATTTGAAATAAAGCTCAAAAGAGTTCTTAAAGATGCGTAATGATGGTGATGTTAAAGTCGCGTGACTGTGATGTCGTTTGTCTACAGTCTGCGTTTAACTTTCCACTTCTGCCGATTGTATTTAGGCTTCAAACTTCATAAAAGTTGTGTTCATTTGTCAGGATTATCATGATTAACAAAACATGTAATTACCATAAACATTTGTTGTTCACAGAGCCTATTTTCTTCAATAAACCAAAAGCCAATGCAATAATCCTATTGTGTGTTTTTTTTTTTTCAAGGGAACCAGGTTGTTGCTAACTTCCACGTTGACCAACAAAAATACGTCATCACTGTAGCACTCTATACTGGTATACACATTTTAACAACTAAAACCTTTAAAACAACTGATTAGTGGGCAAAAACATATTTAAAAGTCAATCAAATCCTCTCTAAAAGGTAATGGAATAGATCAATTCTGAACCAGACCTCAACTGCTTCTATGATGATTTCTTCAACTTTGAACTGGGAAAGAGAGGTTGAAGCCAGTTTCTTGGCGGAAATGGTCGCCCAAGCAGGAATCTTCTTTTTCACCTTTTTCCCTTTGTCATCTTCCTTGTCACTGCAACATTTGAGCAAAAGTCAGTAACAAGTGGAATTTATCAAATGCTTAAATATAAATTTATTTTTTGTACAACAGCCAGATTTACATTTTGGCTACAACGTCCTTGACTTTTTTCTTCTTGCTTTTCCCTTGTTCAGTTGCAGCTTCTTCAGATTTCTCCCCCTCATCAGGTGTCTCTCCTTCATCTTTGGCCTGCTCCTCATCATCAGCGGTTGCCTCCTCTCCTTCATCTCCTGCTTTCTTTTCCTCCGTGGTTTCAGGTTCAGTGGGTGCCGAATCTTTCTCTTTCTCCTTCTCACCTACAGTTGCAGACCCTTTGGCAGGAGCATCTGTGGAACCGAAAACAATGAGATGCACGGAAATGTTCAAGCAAAATTCATACCACCCGTGCATTGTTTTATAAACTCTCCTGAAGCCATATGATTTCAGGAAAGGATTTCAATGCCAAGATGCATGTGTTCCAGTATTATTTCAGCAAATAATGACAGACTTTTTTATTTGTGGGTGAATTATTCCTAATGAAGGGTTTCTGTCTATGTGGACTGTCATTATTCCTGTTCCCGCTCAATATGGCTGATGTACCAGGTAAGGGGCAATACCTACCTCCCTCAGGGGCATTTGCAGGGGGTGCATCCTCTTTGGGTGGAGAACGTCTAAAAAAATCTGTAAGCTGAGGATGCACAATTTCAGAACGAGCTTTTTAAAGCATACCTTTATGTACTGGTTTGTCAGTTGAAAGAAACACTCCCTTCCTTTTTGGAATTCTCTGTTTACGTGCCCCTCCCCCCTCGTGTGTACGCATAGCGACGTACGTGTTCACGCATGCGTGCGCGTACCAGGACCAGGTCGGCTATTGTGAGCTACACCGTTACGATGTTATGAATGATATTACAGAATGACTTGTTTATATAACATTTACCTAATGCTTTTTTAATTTTGTGTAACGGTCGAAAAGGGTATTACTTATATAAATATTTTTTATATTTATTTATATAAATATAACCACCACTGGCTCTGCACCCATTTACCTAAATTCATTACTTCAGAGTTATGTGCCCTCTAGAAGCTTACGTTCTGCTAGTGAACGGCGTATTATTGTGCTTTCTATTCTATTATAATTCTACGTTATCTATATTTATCTTTTTCATTTTTTTCTTTATTTAAAAAAAAAAAAAACAACAACAAAAAACAAACACTAGCTTTCTATTTTTTCTATTCTATCTACTTGTTTTTCTTTGTTT